GAATGTCAGAGGTGAAATCGAAAAATAAAACTTTTTTTCTGAACAAAATCTAGTTTATATATATATTTATACTAGTCTTTTTCACGCATCTAGATCGGTCAAAATATTTAGAGAATTAGATCGATTAAAATATTTAGAGAATTAGAGCGATAATATTTAAAAATTTATATTAATATTTAAAATATTTAGAAAATTAAAATATCTTAGAATCGAGTGAAACATCGAATCTATGCGAAATACAACGAAATAATATTCTTTAATCGAACTCTTTATTCTATATTCTTTTTTCTCCTAATCATCAATTGCGGATGAAGATTTCTATATTATTGCATCGAAGGAACGACGAGGAGAATGGACTATGAGACTTGCGACGTATTTAATATTCATGCTATCTTCACTTAGTAAAATGTAGAGCTTACTTAGAAGTAATATAAATGATAATTTGTGCCATTGTTCTTGCTTCGCAACCGTTACCAGCTCGCAGCATTAACAATCATCAATATCGAATGAAGAATTTGCACGCTATTCTGAACAACGCTTGCAGAAGAAGATCATTTTACTATGAAAATTCATATATAAGGAATTAAATTGCAATGACAAATAATATCCAAAAAAATATATCACCGCTGAGAGCGCAGTAATTTCCTACTTGATAAGAATTTAGCTGGAATCCGAAGCCGCAGGAAAGTTTATTATTAAAATATTTGTATGCTTAATTATGGAAAGTATTTAATTCCGCAGAATATCATACAAAATATAAATAAGGAATAACTTTACATTATTATTATTATTACCAAATTTATGTTATATTAAATATGCATAAATTCTACATATTATTCTGTTTATCATTTATTGATTTTTTACGATGTTATTTTTGTTTCATTTATAGAATATTAACTTTTTAAAAAAATGAAAAAAATCTGTCAAGTATACGCGCTTGTTTTAAGAAAAAAATCGATTTTATAATGCAAGTATTATTTTTGCAATTAACTAATATTAATTTAAATTGTTTAGTAGTAAATTTATTTATTACGAAAGAAAGAAAAGATATAAAAAAAAAATGACTGCAATGACAATGATATTTCTTAAATACAAAATGTTTACATTAGAATTTTATGTTATGATAGATATTTTCATTTATAAAGCACATATAATGAAAATAAAGACATCTTTTATAATTGAGATTCAAGCTATCGATTAAGCTTATTAAGAAATTGATTGGTCCAGTCGTTACTGAAATCTAATATCTAATAGTAAGATATCTGTAAGTGGATGGACTCATGTATAAATATACGATTCGCTTTTTCTGTATGTAATTTAGTGTACGACATTTTGAGACTCTTGATACACACGAGAAATGTTTTATAAAAGTTTTATTTATAAAAAAAGATAGAAATAGTCATAAAATGTTAAAAATTGAAGAACTTCCTGCAACCCGAGAACGTTTGTCATATCGAGTTTCATTTCGCATGCGTACCGCTATAAAATTAATACATTTCTATTAATTAGAAAATAAATTATGAAATATATACATGTATGTATATATATATATATATATATATATATATATATTTATTTATCTATTTATTATACCATAAAATCACATAATTTAAATGCCAAATTTATATTTCCGTTTAATGCAGAAATTAATTATGAATTGCTTATTTAATTAATTATTAATCATAATGAAAAATATATTAGAATCCCAAATATGTTATACAGTCTGATAGAAATCAATCTTTAGATATTTTACATATACTTCAGATTATAAAATATAATGTGCAATTTGCAAATATAATTTTGCATGCTCGTAAATCTTAAGCCGTTCAATTTGCGAAGTTAGATAAGCTCAGCAGTATTGACCGCGGTTCGATCAAGAGATCAGAGAGTATTAATTACATTCCCCTTAATTCAAAAGCCATTAAGGATCATCGATATAATCAGGATATTAACAGTAACCCTAGTCATATACTAACTTTCCAAAATGCCTCACGTGCCGCTGTGATCTAGCTCTTTTCTCCGCGAAACAACTCTCGCTCTTTCTCTCTTTTTCTCCTTTGTCCTCAAATAATTCCTTCCAGTTTGGGCCAAGTTAATCCCTCAGGATCATATCGTATTACTTTGCTTGAGCTTAAGGGAATGACCCGGTGGAACCGGTGACAGTGGTACTGGAATATAGATGGAGAGAGAATCGAGGGAGGAGAAACAGGGAGAGAAGATGAAAGAGAAGAGGGAGAAGCGAAGAGGGTAGGCAGCTGAGGGTGACGCGGCGGTAGAGAATTCCAGAAGATCCTCGCGGATTACGTACGTGATTGTACGACAGTGACGTCACCGTGTGGCCATTGTTCCCGTTGTAATATACGAGCGGGAGTAATCCTCAAATTACGTTCCCGTAACGCGACGCTTCCGTCCATCCGTTTGCCGGCCGTCCGGGTCGCTCGCGTATAACGCGTGCACGATAATAGTTTCCTGCATAATAGTTTACTAATGACGCCGTCATTATCATATGGGACCATCGTCGGACGCATCGCACGCATACATAGGTGGATATCTATAGATTAATGTATTGCGACTTCTCTCTCTTTCTCCCTCTCTCTCTCTCTCTTTCTTTCGCTCTCTCGCTCGCTCGCTCGCTCTTTCTCTCGATTTCTCTGTCCCTCTATTCGTAGTGATTCTTGATCGCGCATACTCGCTGTCGTTGGCAGTAGTTTCGTATCGTCTTGTGGGAATCCACCTCGACGATTATGAGAAGTGTCGTCGTAGTGCCTTAGTTTCTGACTTGCAGTATAGCTTATAATGACCGGAGTGCCAGCTTCTATGTTAATCCTTTGAACACTCATTTACCTTGATAATCGAATTTCTGTACTTTTGGTATTACAGATGAAAATTAGAAATTCAACAAAATGTGTTTATGTATTTAAAAAAGAAATTTTAGTATTTTTTGATTGTATCTTGATTAATTATAGGAAGTCAATAAATTCATAATTTATATTAACCTTTTGACAAAATGAAAATAAACACATATAATATATTTTATACACGCTTTTTTTAAGAAAGCACACACACATATAATTAATTTTAAAATATCAAATTAATTTTAAAAAATTATAATGCAATGAATATTTTATTCCTCACTAAATCTATTATTTTTAATAAATTTTTACACTAAGTATTCTTCAAAATTGATTGTAAAAACTGTGGAAAGGGTTGTATCAATCACGTGGAAAAGCGCTTGACGCATTGATTAATTGTCTATACACTTTTTACTTCCTTTTATTTTCCTTCACTTCGTCACTATCAATGATTTGTTGTTTTTATAAGAATAATGATGCAATATACGTCACAATCAAGGATTCATTAATGGGATTTTATTGCAAAAAGTAATTTTATGGAAAGTGAAATCGAATTTATAATAGAAGAATCTTTTTTATAAATCTACTCATAAATTGTACTTAACCAAACTATAAAAAAAAAAAAAAAAAAAATTTTTGACGATAGAAATCTTAATTTAATGCTATCTTTAATCTCTTTTTCAAATAACATCGAAATTGTATTATTATTATTATATAATTTATATAAGAATTAATTAGATACCCTAAGTATTTTCATTTTATTCACATGTCATTTTCATATGAATACTCATATACTCTTAACATGATGTAATGGCCCCGATAAAACGGGCCATTCTCGTTCGCTATTTTACCAGTCGATGCCCATCGATGGCATATATTCGGACAGCCAGTTGATGCGTAGGAGCACGCTTTGATAAACGCCGCATCAAAGCGTTTTACATCAAGGGTAAATCGACATTTTCATCGAGAGCGCGTTATAAACATCAGCTTTTATCATAAAAATTTATGAAAATATATATAATTTTCATAAATTCACATACACATACATACATATAAAGAACTGATGTATTCATGCCATGTAAAATTATGTGAGGGGAAAATTCGCACAGTAACACTCTTGCCTCGTTATTGTCTCACGAGAGCTTTCCACCGGATAAAACGGCGTTTACTGATAACGAGGCGCGTGATCGTGAGATATTGTCGGACTAATGCTTTTTGAAACGCGCACATATTTCACCAACGTCGACGTAATTACGATCGACTTTAACTGATGTATCTAACGTCGTTTCTCCGCACCCCGGATAACGTAAATCTGATACGTAAGTTACCAACGTATTGCTCGACGTATTAGTTTCCGCGGGGAAATATATTGATACACTGAACAGGCACGAAAAAGATCTACTGATAATCGCAAGAGAAAGTCGACATTATTATTATTAAATTAACGTGACTCGATGTTCCGCGGATTTTTAAAAGTTATCGATCTCCGTTAAGGAAAATCAATGGCTGCATTCAGTAGAAGAAGCTGCTCTGCAACTGTGTAAAATTCGTGAGTCTGATTAGTGTATGCTCTTAATTTTGGCTGAATCTAAGAGCATACATCAATTTCACGAATTTTACAACAGTTGCAAAGCAGCTTTTCCTGCTGAACGCAGCCAATGTATTATATACATATTATACATACATTCTGTTTAATTTCTTGAATTGTTAGAATGAATCTCGGTTCTAAATGAAGAATTAATTCATCGTCAGATAAACTCTTTTGGCTTTCCGCATATTTGCATCGTATTATTCGGAAGATTTCGGACATGCGATAATTAAAAAAAATCGATTACATTACTTATTGTAGAGATATAAAAAAAATTAATAATTTTATTTTCATGATATCTTCGTATCTCAGCTTAGATTTCGCTTTAAAGTACAAATGTTTCATGTTCATACCATTTCCTGCCCGAAAGAAATGGCAAATTCAACAAGCGGATCTGTTGAAAAGTCTTGAAAAACGTCTTGAGAAAAAGCTCCGTTAAATTTTTCCAATTCCTGAATTATATCAGTCAGGCAAGAAAGCAGAAACCGGGCCGAGTTGATCGCGTGAAAGAGAAGAGAGAGCGAGATTAATCTCGGTAGGATCTCTACTTACCTTTGTAATTTCATAAAGGAAGGGATCTGGTGCTACTCCCCCGTTGCTTGAGGAGGGCTGTCGAGATTTCTATCTTCGTTTTTGTCGTCGCACAGTCGCCAGATGAGAAACCAAACCGCATGACCTGAAAATAAGTTGAAAGCATTGTAAACCATGCAGTAGATTTTCAGTAATATACGACAACCACTGGAATGAAATGCTTTGATCTTTTGACCCTGACGCACTCAGCGCAATGCGTTATCAAGAATGCAGTCGCATTCAAAGGATATTACGTGTGTATACGGAATATTCTAGGGGCTTCATAAAAACTTTCAATAAAAAATAGAAAATAGAAAATAACAGAATATAGATATCCATTAAATTATAATTTAAAAACTTGCAATTTTTTCTATATAAGATATTATTAAGTAATAATTTGGAAAAATATATTTTCAAAGTTTTGTAAAATTTTGATTTTTAATATTAGCGCAAATTTGTGCAATATTCTTAATATACATATTTGATTATGTTTACTTCAAGTAAGAACTTGTAAATATTAATTAATAGTACCTCAGCTACAAAGCTGCAAAGGAATTTTGCAACATCGCCTAAAATGTATAAAATTTTACTTTTATATCAATTTCTCGTGTATACTACTATTTAGAGTTAAATGAATTTTTACAAATAGTAATACAATAAATTGATTTAAATACAATACGCATAATAATATGAAATATTATACTTTCTAATAAAATTATTTCGTATAATAAAATTATGAAAAAAACATGCAAAACAATAAACAGTTAAGTAGAATAAATAAATTTTCTATTACTTATTATCCATTTTGTAAGAAGCGATAATAAAATTCAAATTGTTGCGTTTAAACATGTATGTAGTTGTTTCCCTCATAGCTCTTACGAATATTAAATTGATAAGTCGCCTATCGATCTATAATGATCGAGATGAGAGAGTTTAGTTTTTTCTTTCGTTTCGAGGTTCTCACACGATGCACATCAAAGAGTGGATTCCCATGATCTCATACTTTTGGGAATCAATTAATACGATTTTAAAATTGACTAAAGAATCTCTAATTGTGGTTTAGCCAACCCTTTCTCGGCATTTGAAAGCTCATCCTCAATCTCAGAGGAAAAGATTTTAAATCCCGAAATATGTGAAAGAGCCAACGTGGAAAAGCAGATAAAATATAACTGAATCCCGAGATAAGTAGCTATTTTTAATGTAAAACGGAAAGCGAATTCTTTTTTCTGATATATTATATCTTATTAAGTTAAAGAAATAAAAATTGTATGCACAAATATAACGACAATATATGACGACACTTGTATGTTAATCGTGAATAGAATAATTTCGATATTATATACATATAATACATATTATATGATATTTGTATATTTTCTCTATATATTTGACTAATTATTAAAATTTTAAGCAGTGCATGTACTTGCCTTAGCAAAATATAGAAATTTTATTTAAAATATAATATATATATTCTGTAATGTATAAAGATTTTGTATATTTAAAAATAATTTATACATACTACAAATGATGATTCAGACAAAAGAATCGAATAAATTGTGTAATCTATTTAAAGGTTTGTAAATGCTCAACTTTTAAGTTTGAAGCTAATGATTTAGCTATTTTATCAAATTAAAACTTCTATTTGTTTTCTATTTACAGTTTAACTTTATATAACGCATAAAGTAATTGAAAATATAGATCAAACTATTCGAATATATCTTCAGGTTTGAATGATCCATACAATTTAAGACATCCATGCAATTCGATTTGGAATTTTGAACAGATATTCGGTTACTTTCGAGTAATGATTTTGAAAGATAAAATAAGATAAAATTTTATTTGACTCTGAAAATATTTTATCGTCAGATGAAACTATAAATTTCTATTATAACAATAGCAATAAATGTAGGAAAAGCCAGAAAACAGCACAAGATGACAGATATCATTATTCAAAATTATATTAATCGTGAATAAATTATTATAAAGCTAATTTTTTTATGCTACAACTTAATGGATTATCACATTTATAAAAAGGCAGTTAAAAATGTTAATTTAATTTTTAAATTCTTAGAAGTATATAAATAAAAGAAAAAAATATTTTTTACCAAGATGTTTTATATTAATTTTTAGATGGACACAAAATTATTAATTATAATCTGAAAAAAAGTGGATCTTTTAAAATATGGATAACTGTTCGACAGATCGATGTTACGGCCCGAAGGTTAAGCAGATTCCATGGAATTCTAAAGATAACTGAACAGAGTTGAGTTATATTAAAGAATTAATAATTCTGTGCGTACAAATATAAAAATATAATACATTATATATATACAATTATATATGTACAAGATGAAATAAAAAATTATATGATAATGATTCATATTTTGAAGATAAGATAAGATTATGTAAATGTAGTTTTGAAGATAAAATAAGATTGTGTAAATGTAGTTATGAATGCATACCGTGTAGCAGATCTAATTTTCTTACAATGATTACGGAAATTATAATTCTCTGATAAAATCTTTCTACTTACATCCGATCATTTTTTAATTTTATTTTTCTCTTTCAATGTGTTATTTTAATTATATATCTTTACATGGGATTGACTCTTTTACGTTTATGTCTTTTAATTTAAAGATTTAATTATAATTATAACAATTATGCTCTTTTAAAACATTTATAATGCACATAGATAATGGCTTGATCTTCAAATCTGAATTTCTCTAAATATGAGTATAAACTAAAATCTACCTGAATGCTTATCCCATGTGTTGATAGCATTTCAAAACAGGTAATAAACCGAAAATCTTATCATTTCTATACAAAAGAGAGCGTTTATTTGTATCCTCCGTTTTTAGTGGCTCACTCTATTGAGAGCACGCATATCTTTGAAAACATCATGTAAAGTTCAAGCGTATTATCTACTATCTAGTGATCCATTAAGGACTGATTCATACTAGACATGTTATGTTTCTCATATCGTAAACAAATATTTTCCATAAAAATTTTCGTGCATCAGAGAAATATACACAAGACATTACATTTCCGACCAGTGTATATGTACAGTCGAGTGCATTAATTCAAAGCGTTTGCAAAAATATCGCGTTTATAAAAATGCTTCATATGCTACACGTATCAATTCTTTTTATATGTTATTTTTTCTTTTTATTTTATAATTCATTTTATTTTTATTTTAATTACTTTCAATTTTATTCTTTTATTTTTACAAAATCATCGTATTGAGTTGTAAGAGCCGTTAGGTAGACAAAAAGAAATAATTTTTTCTTAAATATTCTACAAAAATTTTTGACCATTAATATGAATGCATTTAATATTCGTATATATCACGCAAACGTTTTAAAACATGCTTTCGCCTAATGTGAAGAAACCTTTATTAGTCAACACATTATCAGCGTACCAAAGATAAACAGTCCAAACAGTCGAGTTAGGTATAAAGAGAAACCATGCGCATCTTCGTCTCAGTTTAACTCCAGTTTCCTTCGGGCGAACTACGTCCATCATAGCTATCAACTATTATTTTGCATGCTTGAAAGCAGACATATTGTACGCACGTGTCATCAAACTATTATTTTAAATGCTTGAAAGCAGACATATTGTATGCATGTGTCACGAGAGAGAAAATACGAATCTCGGCGTACAAGTGTAAACATTTCTTAGATTTCTTTCTTTGTTGTGATATTAGCACGTTACAATAATACGGTATCATCAATAAACGAAGTAAGTCATAGCATATATAATTAAAGACTTATCTAATTATAGCTGAAAAATGTCATATGTGAATTCTTTAATTTGCTGATTGATATTAATTAGGTTCCGATTATGTATACGATAAATATTTTATATTTAGAAAATTTAAAAATTTTTATAGTAAAATTATTATAAATATTTAAATGTTTACGCGTAAAAATTAAAATTTAAAATTTCAAAAATTTTGTCTAAGAAAAAGAATTCATTAGAAAAAAAAATAAAATCTTACACTCAAACTATTTATATAGATAGCTTTATCAAAATTCAATTCAGATAAAAGAAAAATCTTATCATTTTGGTTTTCTTCGCGTTATAAAATTTAATTAAAAATTTTTAAATAAACTTCTAAAATCACGAAATATTTCTATACAAAAATCTTGTATTCACAATCATGTATTTAACATATTATTAACATATTATATATAACATTAACATATTATAATTCAAAAACAAAGTTATTGTGATGAAAATTTATCATTATTTTTTCTGCTATAAAAAAATAATTAACTTTTTGACTTTTAAATATATTTTATTATCATAGGAATTTTATTATTAACGCTAAAAGAATCAATCTTATAGCGAAATAATTTGTAAATAAAATTAATATCCAAATATAAATCTTTCATTATTCATGTAAAAACTAGATGACATTCGCTACAACAACATAAAATATATTGTGCTAGCAAACTTCTTTCTCTCTTTGTACACAAGTTTACTAGATCCACAGAATTATTCCACATTCAGTAGTAAAACAACGCTCCAAGCTGTTTGAGAACAACGCTTCGAGCTGTGCACATCTTAATGACATTCCTGAAACCAGTGTGTGTTACAATTTTATCGCTATGTACATCTAACATTTTTCTAGTTTTATTTTCACATTGTTTTAGAATTTTTCAGTAGAAAATACTTTGGCAAATAATTCGACAAACTAGGTCAATATGAATATTCTGAAATCGGGTTGGTTCAGCGAAGTAAGCGATCTTTGGCCTGGCTTAGCACTCTCGTTGAAGGTAGAAGAAGTTCTGCATTCCGAGCGTTCTCAATTTCAAGAAATCTTGGTAATAAAAACGTGAGTAAATTCCTTCACGATAGCATGAAATATTATTAAGACAACGTTATATTTTTATGTAAAATATGTATGTATATATATATATATATATATATATATATATATATAATATAATATTAAATACAAAAATATGTTGCGCATTTGCAGAAAAGCACATGGAAGAGCCTTAATACTCGACGGCGCAATACAATGTACAGAGAAAGACGAGTTTTCTTATCATGAGATGATATCATACTTGCCACTCTGCAGCCATCCTAAGCCTAAAGACGTCAGTTGACAATATTAATTTTTTAGTCGACTGCATACGAGCGACGAAAAAATGCTATATTAGAAAATTCGCATACTTTTAAATATTGTCTAGATAATAACAATACATGTATGTTTTTACTTTTGTAATGTATGTATAATAATCCTGCATTTTTTTGTAATGTTTTTTTTGTAATGTATGTATAATAATCCTGCATTTTTTTGTTGCTTCTGTGCAATTCGTCAAACGCTTGCTTTACTACTATTAGATTTCTAATAATTCATTATTACTATTCTTAGATTTCATATTACAATTTATTCAGAGAGTTTATATTGCGTTATATTTATATACACACAAGTAATATTAGGAAATTAATAGTTAATAATTAATAATAATAATAAATTAATAATAATAGATCATTTATAAACGCATATATTTAATAAAAGTTTGATAAAGCTTCTATTTTCAATAAAGATAATGTTTTGAATAAAGTGTCACATAATGTTATACTTTACGAAATACATTGATCAATGAATTAAGTATTATATATTCATATAAATATATAATTATGAATTTTATATGATTAATATTTAAGCATATATGATAAAAAAATGTATATAATGTATCTGTGGACAAATAGAGATAATTTTTTACTTTATCTGTCCTTATTAGGTCTTGATAGTCGGAGGTGGCGATGGTGGAGCTGCTCGAGAAATTGCGAAACATCCAGATGTAGAGCGCATCACATTAGTGGACATTGATGACAGAGTTATCGAAGTGTGCAAGGAATATTTGCCTCGCTTGAGTCTTGGTTTTAGTAATCCTAAAGTAACTGTTTTTGTTGGCGATGGCTTCGAATTTCTGAGAAATCACCTTGGAGAATTCGATGTTATTATCACTGACAGCAGTGATCCTATAGGCAAGTAATTCGCGTATTTCTCTAATATCTTATAATAGAGAAAATTGCACAATTCTCATATTAAAAATAAACGCAGGATTTTTTATAGAAACATTATTATAAATAATCCTGATCATTTTTTATATTTATCTTAGGTCCTGCTGAGCATCTTTTTAAGCAACCGTACTACGAATTATTGAGAGCATCATTGAAACCTAATGGAATCATTGCCAGTCAAGCTGGCACGGCATGGGAGAGCATGCAACAAGTCCAAAGCACATTCCAACATTGTAAAACAGTGTTTCCCGTCGCCACCTACGCAGTAACAGCTGTACCGACATATCCCACTGGTCAAATCGGTTTTGTCTTGGGAAGCTTAGACAGCGTTAGTATTAAACATAGTACAATATATGAAAATGGATAAAAAATATTTTTCATTTTTTTTATGAGTAAAAAGAATTTGAGTGTGTGTAATTGCTTATTATAATAAAACTATGAGAAAAGATTTAAAAAATCTTGTATCTATAAATATATATGAAAATATAATTTTGAATTATGAATATGAAAATATAATTAAAAAAAACTTATACTTGTAAATAAAAATACGATCTGGATAAACTTTCTTTTTAACATAAATTTTACATCACTTTTTAAACTGACTTTTCAAAAATAGATTTAATAAATCTTTAATTGTTCTTTTTCAGCGAACAAATTTCGCAGAACCGATGAGGATATTCAGTGATGAAGATCTCGATCAAATGGAAATGAAATATTACAATGATAAAGTACATCGGGCTGCTTTCATTTTACCAAGATTCGTGGAAAAAGAGTTACAAGTTGCTCAAAGTACTAACTAAATAAAGTATTTATTTCAAATATTTAATTTTAATTTTTTAATAGCAGCCATTAATTAAAATTATTAAAATTTAAATTTCTAAATAATGCTTTTAATTTTTGGAATTTTTATTAAAATTGAAATAAAGTTATATGTGTATACGAGCATAACAAAATATATTCTACATAAGTAATTTACTAACTATCAAATTAACTATCTTAAGTAGATATAAATAAGATAAAATTTTTCAAATACATATTTGTTAATTAATTTTTTTTCTACAAATAATGCTATAAATTCCATGCTATATATATATATATATACATAATATAATTTTTTTTCTACAAATAATGCTATAAATTCCATGTTATATATATATACATATATATATATATATATATATATATATTAATTATTATAGAATTATAATTTTTTTAAACAAATAAATATCTATGCTTAATTAATTAATTAAGTATTTTTAACTTATTTCCTTAATAAATAGCGTCAAAGGTTTATCTAACGTTGGTCTTTAACGTACCTGTTTGAAGGTAAATTGATTGTTTACCAGCAATAGATAAAATATTAAAGTTCTAAATGCAAAGTTTAAATGTCTTTTGTATAAACAGAAGGTCCAGGTATAGATTTTAAATTCTGTGTAGTATGGTATAAATTAAACAAAATTTATAATGTAATAAGCTTTACAATGTAATTTACTCATAAAAATATTTCATTTTTTTATATATTGCCCCATATCATATATTTTCACATGATACATCAAAATAATTTCAACTGCTTAACCGATTAGTGTTAATGTGCCGACAAATGTAAAATTTTCGAGGATAATATTCAATATTGAAATCTAATTAAAATAAAAAAAAATATTTATTAATTATATATATTAAAGAATTTATAAATATAAAATGTTTTAAATTGTTGCATTTATTTTTAAGATAATCCATTTATTTTTAAGTAAATAAAACATAAATAAGCGATTTTTATTCATATGCAGAAAATACATATTTAATATTAATAGATTTATCAATGAAAATAATAAATCGATAAAAAATATTATCAGATGTATCAAAATTAGCATGAATATGAGATTTTGGCACATTTTTTGTTCTTGTTTACAAAATATTGAATAATTGTAATACTTTATAATTTTGTTTCAAATTTATAATGCAATTTACAATTAGCTTACTTTTCCGAAAATTTTAGTTATTTATATAATTTTAGTTATATAGTGTGTGTTGTATATTTTAATTATTTTAATTCCAAAGTTTTTAAAATTTTATAATAAAAAACTTTAAGATATAAATGAACAAGATTGTAAAGTTCAATATTTTCAAATTAACAGGAAAATGAAGCTTGAAATAATAATTCTTTATTCTCCTGTCACAATTATCAGTTTCTTTGAAATACAATTAAATCAAATTAAACTATATTAATGTGAATAATTTAGTTAAATTATTACGTTTTACATTGGTTGCATTAATTGCATCAACTGCTGGTTGTGAGTTCGAAATAAAAATTATGCCAATTGAAATGCGAACACACTTTGTCGCGTCGCGGGTGCAAAGAGCCCCCGTAGCAGAAAACGATGACGATGCAATCGTGGATTTTCTCGCGATCCTATTAATTCTCGGCTCTCTATCGGATCTTACAATTTCCACAAACGCGCGGAAATGACGACGCATTTTCCCATTATCAGCAGCGTTCGCGGAATCGCACGATAATCAGCATATTCATGAATTAGCTCGCGCGAGATAGCTCGACTGGACAGCAGCGAGTATTTCAAAGTAAAATGAGGTGAAAAGAGAGGCGAGACGAGAGATACATTTGAGTCTTGGGGAGAGGGAAACCCTCTGTAAACATCCGATTTGCGGATTTTATTACGCGAAAAGACCGGGGCGTTGGAGAAACGCGCTCGCGGACGTATTCGCGCGATTGCGGATTTCGCAATTCCGAGATCCGATGCCCGGAATCCGAGCATAAAGAGCCCAGCGCGTCCCTTTAATCCGGTGCAATCTTCCCTTCAGTTGCACGGTTAAAGCTGAGATTGAAAGAATATTTAGCGCTTCCTCCTCCGAGGTGCATCCTCTAGCAGTGCCCTCGCTCCTCTCGAAGCGCATTCACTCTCGCTCGTCTATGTCACACGCCGGGGAGATTAAAGAAGCCGTACATACCAGATGTTCATCGGCGACGATCCGGTCCGAATGATTACATCGGTAGGCAGATATTATGCACGTTATTCTATATCGAGTCGTATCTTTCTTTCTTTCTCTTTTTTTTCTTTCTACAAAAATATTCGCGAGGAAATGAAATATCACTCGTGCATTTCATGTACACATATATATGCGTGTGTATGCAACGCTTGCGTCACCGCATCGCAGCTCCGAATTACTCAGGACCCGTTCGCTTGGACGAACGCGATCGATTTTTTGGACATCCGACTCTTTCGATTCTCATGGTACCCGACGCAGTAGAATGTCAGAATATAGGTCAGACGCCCATACCGTTAGCGATATAGTCTACAAAAGGACGTATGACTGTGTTGTCTGTCAAGAATGTGTCTGTCAAGCGTGGCAAGCTTTTTCAACCAGCGTGCACTGATTGAAATTATCATATCGCGTCTAGATCGCCCGTAAAATTAGCGATTTTGCAATAAAAAAAAAGAACAATCTCATTTCTTTTTTAAACGATTTAATTGAAATATGCAACCTGATTAATGATATTTATATGTAATTTGATACGTTATTACAAAGTTAAAATATTTTACGCACTTGATTGATTTTGTTTGATTAATCTATAGCTTCTTTTTATTTTCTTTCCATGATACTGATTAAAGTACAACACACATACATAATAGACAGCGAATGATACCAATAATCCATTCTAGTCGACAAATGATACGACACAAACGGCATCATAAAGTAATAAAGTTATCATATTCTGGATTCAAACATGGCGTGTGTGTTTGAAAATGGATACTGCGTGCCAATATTGCGAACACTGGTTGATCATTATATGCAAATTGTGCGTTTTATGTATTCCTCCTCGAATTTGATTATGCAAGTATCATTACGACTGTATAAAATATATGCATATTTTTGACAATATGACACATATGATTGCGAATTTGATTTTTAAAACATTGAAAATTCTATATACTTTTTTGTAAATCTGTGTTTTTACATCAATGATAAAAATAAAACTGTTTCTTAATTTTTAGCTACATGTGATTTTTCATAAAATCGGACTAGAAAATAAATAAAAAATTTTTGTGTATATATAAGTATACGCAATAATATATATCTATCGAAGAGAAAATCGAAAGACTTCAGCTAAAAAAGTAATCTTTCAGATTGACTTTAATTATATTCCGTACATACAGGTTATTTTAGAGAAACTTATGGATCGTTAACTACGTTTAATATCCCCAAATGATTCCTCTCTTCGATATTCCCAGCTGCATCTCGCAAGCCGCAATAGTCTGACCATCTCTCTATATAGCGGTGCTACTTATTAGTTAACGTAGAAGCGAAGCAGCGCGGGCCACTCATTCTCGAGGGATCCATAAATTATTGTTCCCACAAAAGTTAAAAAGTCCGTTCATAAATCATGTTGTGCAATGCTGTTCAACCACCGATATTCTGCAAACTCTCTCTTCTATTTCTTCAAAGATTTTTGCAAATTTTCTGTATAATTTTAAATACTTTATTTTGATATATTATAGAAATTAATATATTTAATACACTATAAAAATAATAGATTATATGTATGTGTAAAAAATATTTTGATAAATTTTAATCGTATTGTGTATATTAATTAGAGTAATATCAAAAAGACATGAGGAAAAGAACAAATGAATATATTATACAAGTGCATGCAATATTTGCATCTTTTTATTTGTAAATTTGAAAACCCTTTAAATCAAAATTGCAAGATGCTCACGTCATATCCAACAAAATATAAAAGTATTAAAGTAATCGATGCGATGGTTTTTTTTTCTTATCGCTGGTATATCGTCCGTATCGGCGAGACAGAGCAGAAAAACGATACTACGTCTCGGTATTTTCGGAAAGTACACTTCTGCGGACAATTTGTAAGTTTAGGGACACGACCGAAGGTTATGAAGTGATTTTCGAACGAGTCCCGGGGAAGGTCTGGAATTCTGGCAAAGAAAGCAACTTTCCTATCCACCTTATAAGTTCTATTACGGCGCTCCGCGAAGCTATATCATCCCCTGTAACTTTTCAGCTCGCACAATACGCGTCGAGGCTGCCGCTGAATTTATTCGTCGGGATATTTTCTGGCTGCGAAAAACTTTATCCCGTAATCCGTGATTGGCGACGATATATCAGGCGTGGATTGAGAATAGCTATGAATTATATTATTAAATAATGGTTTTAAATTAATTAAAATTTTGAGAGCTTTGCGATATAATTAACGGTAAGAATATAACATCGTAATAGTAAGAAAATTATTGTTTGAAGAAATTAAAAAATTGCTGCGTATTCTCGTTTTAATGTAATACACACTTTAATAATTAAATAATTTATGCATTAAATTTTTTCATTTTCTAGATTGGTTTTATTAGATGTAACGACTGATATTTTTCAAGGTGTCTTTTTCATTGTTATAATATTCAATGTTATTACATATTCTCGTTTTAATGTAATACATGTTTTAATAATTAAATACTGTATACATCAAATTTTGTTCATTTTTTAGATTGGTTTTATTAGATGTAATGACTGATATTTCTCAAGAATTTTTTAACAAATACTAACCAATGCAAATCAAGTATTTTTAATTATTTGCGCCATTTGTATTCAAATGATCGATTGGCAATAAACTTGCGATCAGATTCAAATCAGCCCATGATCGTTATAATCTGTACCATATTGACCTGAGAAACACTTACCCGATCCATTTCTGGGTTAATGAATTATCGATGAAACGGCAAATCGACACTGCTGCGGGGAATTATACCGAGATCGATATCTTTGCAAAACCGAAACCTGCAATCGCGAAATTCCAAACGGCGGAAACGGAATATATA